TGGCTACAACTGTAGCTGCCTCCACCAGTGTGTGGATGTGAGAGTGAATGAATAGTGGTATTGTAAAGCGCTTTGGGTGCCTAGAAAAGCGCTATATAAATGCAATTATTATTATTAGTATTATTTTAATTCTGTGCTGACGTGTTTGGAGGTCTCACCTTTTAGCTTCACCTTCAGCTCCTGGATCAGCTCCTGTTGTTGGGGCAGGAGGGCTGCAGGTGGACCAGGAGGCCCCTGAGGTCCTGGAGGGCCTGGAGGGCCTGGAAGACCATGCTGCAGGACACACAAACAGCAGTCAGGTACATGTGTCAGGAGGGAAAGTATTACTTATATTTAACAAATGATAAGTCCAGCAGCAGAATGTGTGACTAAGACGTCTTTGAATAACGAGCTTCAGCAGAGCAAAGCTGATGCACTCAAACACTCATCAGGTAATGATCAGAACTTCAGCTGCGGTGGAGCTCTCATATCTGAGCCACCGGATCTTTGAACTGGGCGCAGTTTTCCCTGCAGGGGAGCTTTCAACTGTGGGTTTCGGGTGAAGGTGTTTCTGACCTTGGAGGTTCTCCGGGGCCCTTTGCTTCTGCGGTTGTCCCCTCTGTTGGAGTTCCTTCTGAAGAAGAGCCAGGAGCTATGAGGAGACACTCTGCCCGACTCCGAGGAGGTCAGGTCCTGGAGGACACAAACCACACACACTGACTCATCAGCTCAGGCGCCATCTACACCACGCTGGCCCGCCTCAGCAAACCCTCGGCGTTCACGTGGAGCTCTGTGTGCTTTGTTCACATTATCGAACGCCAAACGTCAGTTAGCTGATGGATCATCAGGCTGATCTCAGGTCAGTTAAACTCACCTGCAGCTCTCCACTGACGGCCTCCTCGTCCTCCAGGATCTCCTGACTCTCCTCGCTCTCCACCTCATCAACGCTGGCAGCCTTCACCATCGTCACCATCATCATCATTGTGAGGAGCAGAGGGAGCAGCAGCAGCCCTCTGGCTCCTCCTGGAGCGCTCTTCCTTTGGGATAACCTGGCCAGCATGCTGTGTGTGGGCGGTGCTCAGGTGGGTACAGGTCTAAGAAGTTCCCATGATGCACCTCTGTGAGCCAGCGCCTCTGGGATCAGCGTGGAGGGATCTCCTGCTGAGTTTTGCTGGTAAGTCAGCGTCTGTCTGGGAGAAACCTCCTCCTGGTGGGTGGTTCGGGTGCTCCTCCTCCTGTCCTCTCTTCTCTGACGCTGCAGATGAGTGATGGCGTCTCTCCTGTAGGCCAGCATTTGCGTTCTGCTCCCTCTGCTGCTGCCTCTGCTCTTTATCTGCCTCTCTGACTCCTCCTCCTCCACCTCCTCCTCCCGCCCCTCCTCCTTCCTCCGTATCTCTCAGTGGATCTGAAGCTGTCAGTGTCTGTCTGCACTCGTTTCCTGAACGTCTCCCCAGCGTCTCTCTGTCTCTCTGTTTTATCTCCTCTCCCATCATTTGTCTTTCTTTGCTGCGTTTTTCTCCTCCTCCCTCCCACTCCTCCTCCTCCTCCTCCACATCAGCCCTGCTCCTGGGTCCTAATGTTTCCAGTCACAGCAAGCCATCTCTTTTTTTTTTTTTTTTTTTTTTTTTTTTTTTGGCCTGTCCCGTTTGGCTCTTTTGCCATCAGAATTGTTGTCTAAAGGCAAAGAAAGATACCCAACGGATTTACTTTACCAAACTGACCATCCCAGCCTTGCCGTAATGGTCCATTTGATTCACCTTTTATTGTTTATTTTATTTTCACTTACTGAATACGGGACAGACTTGACTGGGGGAAAGAAGGGGAGAAAAGAAAACAAGCAGAAGAGAACAAGAGTAATAGAATAAACAACATCACAATGATATATGGGAATATGACAGTAAATACTAAATATTAAACATTATTGTGCAGCACATAAGATCAACAGAACACAGTGTGCTTTGAGGTAGGAGCCAAAAAGGGTGTAGTTTGTGGGTGTGATCACCCGTGTGTACACCTGTGGGCATGGACGCGCTTGTTTTTTGTTTTGTTTTTTTAAAAGGTTCCTTCATGTAATAATCTGCTAGAGGGTGTGGGGGGGCCACAGCCCCGTCCTCCAGGGCGTGAGGCAGGTGTGGAGGAGATCAAAACTCCAGACATCCAGAGGCCCCCAGAACACAAGAGACCAAGGAAGACCAACAGAGGGGCAGCTGCGCCACTGTCCCGGAAAGAGCTGAGGAGAGTCCCAGATGAGGGCTCACTCAGCAGCCGCGGAGCAGAAGCCAGGGGGAGTTGCAGTGACGCGCCCGTGAGCTCCGCCGGCAGCCAGCTGCGCCTGAGTGACCGAGCCCCAGGCCGAGAGGCCGGGGGCACCCCACCTCCGAAGTGGCCCGAGCGAGCCCCAGGCTCCAGGCCCCGATAAGCGGCCGCCAAGGAGTGAGCCGGTGTGTACCTGGACGCCCATCCCCGGACACAAAGAACCACCAACGCACCGATGTCTGAGGGGGTCCGCCACTGGCAGGGGAAGTGGTGGTAGGGGGAGATAGGCCTCCAAACCTTGGAGGGCCTGAGATGTCCCCAGAGAGGTGGCGCCTGACACCCAACCTGACATATAGACACAGACATACAGGCACACACAGACACAAACATCCATTCCCACCCTCATGCTCTCATATGCACTTACTCCACACTCAACCAACGTGGAGACAGACATAAAGAGACGCTGTACACACGATCACACTCCCCAAGCGTACTCTACAAACCGGGTCTAGGTACCCTTGCCCCTGGAGGGGGGAACTGCACCCAGACCCAGGTGGTGTTTCCCTTTTCCCTGCGGTGGGGAGAGGCAGACCGCCCCGACTCCGCAGCAGCAGGAAGGCTCCACACTCCAGACCGCAGTCGGACGGCCAACTCCTCCTCCTAGCCCCCCGCTCCAGCAGGTCGCAGAGAACGGGGGTGAGAGAAGACTCCAAACCTCCCTCCACCCGCTTCATTGTAATGTTGATGCATGTGTGTTCTAAGGTGCATTTAAAACCCAGGAGGGCATGGTTCATGCCCATGTTTCCAGTCACAGCAAGCCATCTCATATACGATCATAGGCATGCATATGTGCCACAGATGAAGCTCTGCTGACGGCATTAAACCAGGTGTGCAGACACACCTGTGCCACACAGTGAGGGAGCGAGTCAGAGTTCTTATTCTGGAGGAAACCATGGAAACGTTCATGTTCACGAGCGGCCCCGCTGCTTATGACAAAACATTAGTAACGTGTGCCACACACTTTGTTAGGATGGCTGCGGTACGATGATACTTCCTGCCACACTGCAGACGGCTTCAGGGACACGAGACGGATGTCACGGAGTCGCCTCAGCCTCCAGATCTCAGTCCGATCAAACGTGCGATCGCCACGGTGACGGGCGTCATCGATCTGCTGCCGGCGTCTCGGCGAGTGAAGCCACAGCAGAGCATGAACATCTCAGTCAGTCGGCACCAGAACCACACAAACGCACAAACGCACAAACGCACAAACACGTCGCTGCATCATTAGATCACGGGTGTCAAACATAAGGCCCGGGGCCTGCTTTGAGCCCAGCAAAGGCTCCACTCGGCCCCACTTGGAAAATGTGAAGCTGGACTTCTAATACTCGTTCTGTATTTTAACTGAAATACAGAACGACTTCCTGCTTTTCGCCACTTTTTAAAGTGGCTGCAGAGAAAAAGGAAGAAGCAGCAGCTTCTTCCAAAAACCGCTGAGACTGCACGTGTTTACAGGTGTGCTGCAGGTGTGCACTCACACGAGGACACCGCTGTGGCTCTGCTAAATGTTTAACATTGTTAGAAATCCTGCTCCGGAGGTCAGGTTTCAGACGGAGGACGGAAACGCCGGCGTGGGTTTGACGTCATGCGCTCTCTCTCAGGGAAACCCTCCCTGTAGGAAGAGCATTAAACTGTTTCCCCTCCTCCTCATCATCATCATCATCATCATCATCTGAAGCTCTTTTCATGATCAGACTCATAACAGCTGAGGTCACACGGAGCAGGAGGAGGAGGGGCCCTGATTGTTGTTTAGAGACACTTTGTGATCGTCAGGCTCGGCGCCGCAGGCCGACTGTCAGGATCAGAGTGCGATGGCCGGGCTGGGCGGTGAGATCGAGCCCCGCCCAACTGCCCCTCAGATAAGGTGGGTGTGGTGTTCACTCTAACTGGATGATGAAAGTTTGTTTGGACGTTGGCGTCTGAGTGATGAAACGTTTCCTCTGAATCTGACTGAGGCTGATAGACACACACACACACAGACACACACACAGACACACACACACAGTCTCACATATACACAGACACACACTGAGTCACGTAGATTGTGCAGAGATATTCATGGGACCTTGTTTTTGTTATCTTTCTGTTTACCGTGCATTGATTTATTGATTTATTGATGTTCACATGTTCAGGCTTAATAAAATGTAAGAATGATTTAAAAGGTTGTTCTGAAGCACTGCAGGTCCTCTAACGTCCAGCAGGGGCAGCAGTGAGTCAGTCCCCAAAGAGTCCCATGTTAAAACATAAAACAAACAAGTTCACAGCCAGATACACAAACTGTTCGGTGGATCATTTCTCCCTTCATATCACCTGTATGGGGGGGAACCTATCCAAAACCCACCTGTTTAAAGCTTGCATTATTAGGGGCGTGGCCTCTGGACTGTGCTGTTATTAGCGTGGCTGCTGTGTGGTTCTCTGCAGTAGTGGGGCTCATGTTTTAAATTAGCACGTATCTGTGTGATGCTCCCAAACAGTCTGCACTAACCAGGCTGGCAAGGATCAGCTGTCATAACTCCACCCTCTCATCTAAATATGGTCACTAAAGGAAGCAAAGCCCAGCATGGAGCTGAGGGTCACTGAGCCTTCAGGACCCCAGTTTGGCTTCACATAAATTATTTTAAAGGTGATTTTAGAAAACTCAAAAAATATGAACTACAAAATGACGTTAGCAGGAGCAAAGTGATGAAATAAGACACCTGAGAGAGCGAGCAGGTGGCTGCAGGTATGACAGGTGAAGCAGCTCTAATCCTGCTAAGAGGATCAGTCTGCACACACACAGAGTGTAAGCTGGCTTTGCGTGCTGAGGATCAGCGTCGTGGGTCTGATGAGTGGAACTGAGGCATAATGGGAGCAGGCGCCGACTCGATGGGGACGAACCCCCCAAAACACCCTGACCTCTGAACCCGAGACACACAGCGAGCACGGTAAGTGTGTGTGTCTGTGTGTGTGAGAGTGTGTGTGAGAGTGTGTGTGTGTGCGTTACTGATATCACAGAGAAATCTGTTTGGCAGACCTCAGTGAGACACGTTGACCTTAATGACAGTTTGACAGAATCTGAAGGAACTGATCACATGTGTGTGTTCGTGTGTGTGCGTGTGTGTGCATCTGTGTGTGCGTGTGTGTGTGTAGGTGTCATGGATGCCGTAGATCCATCTCCTCTGCGACGTTTCGTCATTGCGAAACATTCGATCACCTCCATCTTTGACCAGCTGCTGGACTTTGTGAAGGATGGCTGCGCCTTTGTGGATGGTGAGAAACCCACACACTCAGAGCTGTAGGTGCTGTGATGGTGTATGTTCGTACAAACCGGTCTGCATGCTTCCTGGAGTCGTTCTCAGCATCAGGTCTGAAATGGGGACGAGCGTGTCCTGCCCACAGATGCAGAGCCTGCAGCCTCTCTGCTGACCGGCACGCACCTCCTGCTCTGTCTTTAAATAAATTCTGGCTTCTCTCTGTGTCTGATGCTGCAGTGGCCACAGAGCGGACGCCAAAGGTCATGCCGTTCAGTACGCAAGTAGCCTTTGATGCCCTGACATCAGGAACATCTGAAGCTCCTCTCAGGAAAACTCGCTGTCATTTTCATTGTCAGTTTACTCGCTGTGTTTGTTTGATGTCAGAGGCGTGGCGCAGCGAGGACCTGGGTCAGGTGGCCATGGAGGAGCAGAGTTTGGAGATGCAGAGCTGTGCCATCAAGCTGACGACCATCAGAGACGTCCTGCTCAGGAGACACATGAAGGTGGCGTTTTTTGGCAGGTGAGCAGTTTACAGAAACTGCAGAATATAGGCGGGTGAGCCTGCACACTGTAGAAAACATTGATTCAATTCAATTCAATTCAATTTTATTTATATAGCGCCAAATCACAACAAAAGTCGCCTCAAGGCGCTTCATAGATACAGAGAAAAACCCAACAATCATATGACCCCCTATGATTGATGTAGCTTCTAGGTTGGAGAAATGAAGCCAAGGTGCTGCATTCTACCTGAAGGCCACCAGATGGAGACAGCTACTAGTTATTTGCAAAGTGTGACTCTGCCCACATTATATCACTTCACAAAAAGTTTCAGTAACAGCAGAGTATAACAGTGAACAGGAGCTAACGGGGGCTAACAGGCGCTAACAAGAGCTAACAGGCGCTAACAGGTGCTAACGGGAGCTAACAGGCGCTAACAGGAGCTAACAGGCGCTAACAGGTGCTAAAGGGGGCTAACAGGAGCTAACGGGGGCTAACAGGCGCTAACAGGCGCTAACAGGAGCTAACGGGGCTAACAGGCGCTAACGGGGGCTAACAGGCACTAACTGTTAGCAGTGACCGTGGTCCACTTGATCCAGTGACTACAGAGACTGAAGTTTGTTTTATTGACCCAAAATACTGACAAGCATTCAAACATTTTCATATCTTGCCCAGTATCAACTGAGGGTTGTTGATAACATAAATATATCGTGTTGCGTGATGTTGGGGAGAATGCCATTGTTACTCTCCGCAGCATTAGTAAACACACTCAGAGGGCCTAAGCTAACGTTCATCTTCAGCCTTGCCGTGCCCAGTTTCTCCACATAATGAGTAAGATGCTTGTACTTCCTCTGAGAGAGAAAATACGCTTGTTTGTTTACTCATAGTTGCCGCAGTTTATCTCGTCTACATGATGCTCAGTTGGTTTTTTATCATGTCCAAAATGGCCGACAAGTTACTGTCACGTGCCAAGGAGTCACATGTCTGCAAAGCCTCTGTTGGTGCCCTAATCTGTGAGCCTGGTTCTGCTCACGGTTTCTTCCTGTTAAAAGGCAGTTTTTCCTTCCCACCATTGCCAAAGTGCTTGCTCATAGGGGATCACATGATTTCTGGTTTGCTTCTGTATGATTGTAGCATCTCTGAAGCTATTCCCAAAGTAAAGAGTGCTGCGCCCCCCTTAAAAATCAGGAAACCCCACAGGGTCCACCCAATCTTATAATGGATTTCCTTTGAAACGTCCATTCAAAAAACATCAACCCGCCTGCCTTCAGTATATTAGCAGTAAGTTTATGTCAGAGTAATGAGTGACATCACAAACTCAAGTGCTAATTCCCTTTTTATTTCTAAATAAATCGATTTATATGAATATTTAACAGAACATACACGTGAGTTATTTCCAGAGATGGGCAGTAATGTGTTACAAGTAACGGAATACAGTAACGCGTTACAAGTAACTACAAGTTACTTTTTTCGAGTAACAAGTAAAGTAAGGGATTACTATTGCAAAAAAGGTAATTAGATTACCGTTACTTTCCCGTAGGAACGCTGCGTTACTGCGTTACTAAAACCGTGATTTTTTTTGCGAGAATGTCTCATGACAGTGACGTAAGCGAGTGCGCCGTTGGTGACAACAGCTGTGTGCAGATCAACAATGGATCACATATTGATTGTGGGAGAGAGTATGAGCGTGCAGCGTTTAAAGCGTGGAAGTACTGACCTTACTTTGAGTTTGATTCCATAAAAAGTGACAAAAACATTAGTGTCCGCTGTGCGTGGGAAGAAAACTTCTTTTTACAGCGAAAAAACCCCTAAACTTCCAACAAGCACCGAGTAGCTACGACGTAATGGGAAACTCACAGAGAAACTCCCGTATCCTTCCACTGACCGCGGCACACCTGCACCAGGGTAAACCTCCGCCTACCACACTCCTGCTTTACAGGTGAAAATAGAGCAAAGGGACCGCTAAGTTTTTGACTTTATTTATTTTCTGCTGTGTTTTACTTGCATCTATTTGAAAGACTGAGTGTAAACACAAAAAATATTTTATTTTATGTGCTGGAATGTGCAGAAAATAGGTTTAAATGTTAAACTAATTTCTTCCAGTCAGAGAATGTTGCAGATAATTAAATGTTTGCTTGATGCATAAAGTTAAAAGATTAAAACTAATAAAACAAGTTTGATTACATTTTGTATGATGGATTATGTAGAAAAAGTAGAATTGGGCTGAAAGAGCTATCGCTTTATCACCTATTCAGGTTGTAAATCGTGTTTTTAAAAAGTAACTAAGTAACTAAGTAACTATTTACTTTTGAAAATAAGTAATCAATAAAGTAACGGGATTACTTTTTTGGGGACGTAATCAGTAATTAGTTACTGATTACTTTTTTCAACTTGACCAACACTGGTTATTTCAAACTGACTGCTGCAGGCACCTGCAGTACCTTTGCAGCCTACCAGGGGGCACCAGACCACACTTTGGGAATCCTTTTCAATATAAAGTGCTTTGAGGCGACTGTTATTATGATTTGATGCTATATTTAAAAAAATGAACAAGATCAAATTATATTAATTTATTTGACCTTTGACATCTGTGTTTTCGAGCTCAGTCATTCGTTCTGAGTCTTAATGAATATAGAATAAAGGCTGATATCACTCTTTGACCCACTGTGGCATTGGCTAATTTTCCAATCACAAGTCGTTAGCCGATGAGGGTGTGGTTCCTCAGTCAGACCCGCCCTTTCTCATCATATTGAATCACTGGCACAGTGAAAGCTCCACGTGAGCGATTTAAAACCATCCTTCAGCTCTTAAGGATGAAATTCTCCACAGAGCCCAAACAGTGAGTGTGTCCAGCTGTAAACATGTTGGGAGGCTGTTGGGACTGACTCACTGCTGCCCCTGCTGGACTATAGAGGATCTGTACTGTTTGTTGGCGCTCCATCTTTTAGCAGTACATGTTGATGCTTGTGATGTTTGAACTCATTTTTTACTTGAGACGGTGAAACAAAGAAATTGAGTTTGCATCAAAGGTGACGGAAGCTCGTAGTTCAGAGCTCCGGGGGTGCTGCGTTACAGTTACAGCCGTTTGTCCTCAGCTCTGATTCCAGCAGCAGTGTGTGTGTGTGTGTGTGTGTGTGTGTGTGTGTGTGTGTGTGTGGATAGAGCCTGATAAAAGCTGAGACCAGCTAACCGACGTTTGTTCTGTGAAAGCAGAGCTGAACACACTGATAAGGTTTATCTGCGACCTCCGGCTGAGGCACGCTCACAGTCGGACACGTGGATTTCTGCAGAAACTCATGATGTAACGACCGTCACTTGATAAACTGGGTGATGTAATAACTCGTCAGCTCTCACCCGAGGATGCTGAGGCCCTCTGACCTGTGGTGCTGCTCTTGTGCTGTCATACTGCTTCTTGCCCGACTTTGAAGGCCGAACCTGCTCGCTGTTTCGTTCGGTTTGAGCCACGATGATGCAGCAGGCGCTGAGATGAAGGTTTTGGTGTTAGTCAGCATCATTAAAGGTTTTCATATTAATTATAATGATTATACATTTGCTGTGGATCAGGACGAGTAACGGGAAGAGCACAGTGATCAACGCCATGCTGAGAGACCGAGTGCTGCCCAGCGGCATCGGTCACACCACCAACTGTTTCCTGAGCGTCGAAGGGACCGACGAAGACGAGGCTTACCTCATTACCGAGGCGTCCACCGAGAGGAGGAGCGTGACTGTGAGTGAGGTGACAGAAACCCTGCGGTGGTCACGATGCTCTTGACACGCCCGCTGGCGTGTGGTGATGACTCGCTGCCTCCTTCCTCCTCAGACTGTGAACCAGCTGGCTCATGCTCTCCACATGGATCCCACTCTGGACTCGGGTACACTGGTCAAAGTCTTCTGGCCTAAAAGTCGCTGCGCTCTGCTGAGAGACGACTTGGTGCTCATGGACAGGTAACACTCCCTCCTCCTGACCTTTGACCCCACTGATGACGATTCACTTAAATAATATTCTGTGTCAGAACCACAGGGTTCAGTTTCATCTGCATTTAGTCAAAGTGCCAGTACCAGTACTTACTAACACCGGTGACCTTTGACCTTTGACTCTTGGCCCAGCCCTGGGACCGATGTCACCCTGGAGTTGGACAGCTGGATCGATAAGTTCTGTGTGGACGCAGACGTCTTTGTTCTGGTGGGAAATGCAGAGTCCACTCTGATGAACACGGTGAGGAAACGACTCATCACACGACTCAGTCTGGTTGGCTGCGCGTGAGTGGCTGCGCGTGAGTGGCTGCGCGTGAGTGGCTGCGCGTGAGTGGCTGCGCGTGAGTGGCTGTCTTTGTTAAAGTGGAATAACTAATCCAATTCTGCCTGCAGGAAAAACTTTTCTTTCACAAAGTCAG